TCTTAAGCCCTAGAGTAGGATTCTAAACAATGGCACTAATGACATTTTGAAACAAATCACATTTTGTCGGGGCAAGGGGTCCTGATCATTGTGCGATTTTCATAAGCATCCTTAGCATCTAAACACTAGATGCCTCCCAGTAGCATCCCCTAGTCGTGACAATCTGAAATGTCTGCAGGGCAAAACTACCCCTAGTTAAGACCTACTGCCTTAGAGGAAACCTCGGTAAGAGTTTCTAAGATACACTTCCAGACACTTTCTGTGTCTGGCAATCATACATATTTATATGTCCATCCTTTTTTATTACACTTACTTTTACCCTTAACCACTTATCATGAGTATCATTCCATGTTCTCACATACCATACCTGATACATTGAAACAGCTGAAGAGATTGCCACTATACGGAGACAGCATAATTATTTAAACAGCCACCCACTCCCACCCCCAACTTGATAGGATTTTTCTTCGTGTGTGCGTGGAAAAGACTAGAGAACAGACATCATAAAGTGATGGAATGTGAAGATGAAAAGGCATTACAGGTGTATGGAGACAGCGAGAGCTAAAAGGTTGCCAATGCTGCTGTTTGGTGTGTTGGTTTGTGATCTCTTCCAAAGCAAGGACTGGGCTACTGAACAGCTGATCACTTTTCCTCATAACCCTTGCTTCGTGCTAAGGGAAGAGACTACAGAGAATGGAGATTTGAGATCACATAAAGGAATACTTGAGCTCAGCAAAGATGACTGTGATGCCAAGATAGAAGAAATTAGAAAGGGACAGAGATTAGAAAGGGACCTGTAATGATAGAGGCAAAGCAATCACAAACGTCTGCCAGTTAGCCTTTCCTTCCATTCCATTTCCAATCATAGGGATGATGATAGTTACTGACCACCACTTGGGTGGTGGTGCAAACACTTAGAACCAGCTTCTCAGATGGTCAGCTTTTCATCTTTCATGATATTAGGGAAGTTTTCTGCCAGTAATTCTTCAATGATCCTCTCTGTGTTTTCCGTTTTCTCCTCCTGTTCTGGAATTCTGATCACTCATAAATTTTTGCTTTTGATTGTAACCCACATAATTCTCAGGGTTTCTTCATTTTTCCTCATTCTTTTTTCTGATTTTTCCTCAAGTTGTAACCAAGTGTTTGTCTTCAATTTCGCTGTTCCTGTCTTCCATCATTTCAAACCTGCTCTTCAGCCCTTCTACGACACTGTCCATTTCTGAAATCTTGTTGTTTATCTTTTGGATTTCTAATTACTGTTTTGTATGATTTCTAGTTGTGAATTTATTTTGGCATTTTGTTCCTGTATTATTTTCCTGAAATCTTCCATTTTTTTGTCTGTATTTTCCATGAATTTGTCTGCCTTTTGCTTCAACTCTTGGATAGCTCTGAATATTAGAGATTTGAATTTTCTATAAGGTAGTTCTAGTGCCTTTTCTTCTACTGGAAAGTCATCTGGCATTTTATTTTGGACGCCTACTGGAACCATCCTTTCCTGTCTTTTTATATGTTTTGAAATTGTCTGCTGTCTTTGGGACATTCAGTAGTTATTTTCTTTGTTTATTGATTGTAGATTTGTTTGTTTCATCCTGCTTTTTTTGTTTTATTTGGTTATGTCAGAGCAGATGGGCTGTGCATTGTTTCTTGTTTGCTCATCTGTGGACATGATATTTTTCACCTCCTTGTCCAATGTGCAGCCAGTTGCTCAGCTATGGTGCAGCAGGGCAGGTCTAGCTGAAGGAGAAGGGCTGGGATGGGTTGTTTGTGGCATG